AAAAATCTAGTAGAAAATATATTGAAATATTAACAGTGATTATCTGTGGCTGGTGGGACAATGAATTTTTTTCCCTTTCTATCTTTCTTTATTTTCTAAATTCTCTATAGTGAGCATGTATTTCTTTTATAATGAGAAAGAAAGGCAAAAGACTGTATTTTAGAAGATGGAGGAAGAAATATATTTGAACTGTTTACAGCTGTTGCAGCGCAGAAGCTGCAGCTCTTACACATTTCCCTTTTCTTCCCCTACCTATGTGTTTATTCTATTTGCATCCAACCTGGCTTTTCCCAGCTCTCCTCCCTGTCTCCTTTTATTCTTCCAAGGGGCATCCCTCCCCATAGTAGAAAAGCCTCTCTTTCTCTGAAACATATTTCTCACCTCTTCTCTATCCTTTCTGTTGAGGGGCAGGGGTAACAACTTTATTGAGATTTAATCCCCATACCATACAATCTATCCATTTAAAGTGTATAATTGAATTGTTTGTAGTGTATCCACAGAGTTGTGCAACTATCATCACAATCAATTTTGGAAAATTTTCACCTCAGAAAGAAGCTCTGTACTCTTTAGCTATCATTCCCCAACCTTCATCTCCCCATTCTTAAGCAACCACTAATCTACTGTATATCTCTCTATATTTGCCTATTCTGAACATTTGCTATACCAAATTAGTCAAAAGGATTACACACCCCAGTAGCTAACAAGTTTAAGAACACCAGGAAAAATCTGTTGAAAGAGACAATAGTTGTACTTATTAATATCAACTTCAAAAAATAAGGGATTTTAATTATTTTATTGCACATAAAATTATGTGGAACTTGAAAAAATTTTAATTATCTGGCATACATAAATTTATCTGGAATATAATATATATATTTCATAAATATTACTGTATTGGTCCATTTTCACACTGCTGATAAAGACGTAACCAAGACTGGATAATTTATAAAGGAAAGAGGTTTAATAGACTCACAGTTCCACATGGCTGGGGAGGCCTCACAATCATGGTGGAAGGCAAAAGTCACATCTTATGTGGTGGCAGGCAAGTGAGAATGAGAGCCAAGTAAAAGGGGAAACCCCTTATAAAACCATCAGATCTTGTGAGACTTATTCACTACCACAAGAACAGTATGGGGGAAACCACCTTCATGATTCAGTTATCGCCAACCAGATCCCTCCCATAACACATGGGAATTATGGGAGCTACAATTCAAGATGAGATTTGGGTGGGGACACAGCTGAACAGTATCAATGATATATTCTATTCTACAGATTCATGATAATAGTAATATTGACAATGGCTAACATTGTAGAGTGATTACTCTGGGCTTAATTCTGCAGGTACTATGCTAAACACTTTACATGCATTTTCTCATGTAATCAGCACAGTAACCTTGCAAGATAGGTACATTTTACAAATAAGGAAACTAAAGGTCTGAGAAGTTTAGAATTTGCCTAAGATTTCACTGCTCAGTAAGTGAGGGCATAGCTGACATTTGAAACTCAGCTGAGTCAGACTCCATAATCAGTGCTTTTAGCTACTACTCACAACAGGTTTGAAGGGGCTGTTCTGAGAACCGAATCATTCTAATATGGTTGCAAAATAAAACTGTGTTCTAAATTCAAAATAAGTAATTCAGAAGTAAGTTTTTAAATCACAGTCTCTTTCTATGTCTATCCCATATGCACTGTGAAGTTAATAAAGTAGGATAACCTTTTATTTTTCCAAGTTACCTTGTTCAACTTTCAAAGAGATTTCTTGAGTTCTAGAACGTGATAACCCAGATCATGTTCATACTATTCACTGATACCGTTTGGCTGTGTCACCACTCAAATCTTATCTTGAATTTAGTTCCCATAATCCCCACATGTCATGGGAGGGACCAGGTGGAGATAAATGAATCACGGGGGTGGTTTCCCCATCCTGTTCTCATGATAGTGAGTTAGTTTTCACAAGGTCTGATGGTTACATAAGGGGCTTCCCCCTTTGCTGGGCAGTTACTTTTCTCCTTCCTGCTGCCATGTGAAGAAGGACATGCTTGCTTCCCCTTCTGCCATGATTGTGTGTTTCCTGAGGACTCCCCAGCCATGCAGAGCTATGAGTCAATTAAACCTTTTTTTCTTTATAAATTACCCAGTCTCAGGTATTTCTTCATAGCAGTGCGAGAACAGATTAATATGTTGACATTCTTTGTGATTTTCTGAGACTTTTGTGTTGACCCTTCCAGGTAATATCTTTCTATACTAAAATGAGAGGCCTTATGTTTATTGCAGCCCCTCATACCCTTGACAGTTAGATCGAACCTCATCTGGATCTTCTTCAAATTGTCATTAATCTTCATGATCCACCAAGAAAACTGCAAGGGTTGGGAGAAGTTCAGGGTGTTTTGTTTTTTTGTTGTTTGTTTGTTGTTGTTGTTGTTTTTTAACTTCTATTGAAATCAAACTGGAAGGTCTTACCATGGGTTCAATTTTTCTTGCCATGTGCTATGTGAGTGAAGGAATTTGGAGGTAGGGGGAGGCCTAAGGGAAATTCTTTCCTCAAAGAGAGGGCCATTGTTTACCACAGACTAATGGCCATATTCCATTTCCTTATGGAGTGGGCGGGGGGAATTACTCAGACTCAGCCTTTACTCTTTCAGCTTCCACTTTTGGGAACTGTATTATTACCTTGTAAAGTGAGCATCTCTCCTATTAGCTGTTAATTGAACCCATCTTTTTCCTCTATTAGAACTATAATGGTGACTTTTATTTTCAGAGCTCTGTATTGAGCCTCTTCTCTTTGGAGATTGATGGTACTCAGACACCAGGGGTAGGCTGTGGGGTGGGGGGTACCGGCAAAACAGCAAGCAACTCGGGGGGTATCAGAAGTTATATATGTCCCAATAACCTTACTTGAGTTGTTCTGTCCATCAAGTTGACTTTGCCGTGACCCAAACCTTTGTGAATCTATGCTAAGAGCCCTCTCCCTCCCTCCCCCACCTCTTAAATCATTAGTTGAAATGAATAGTTTTATGGTAATTGTCCTAGTTTGTTTTATGTTGCTGTAACAGAATTCCTAAGACTGGGTAATTTATAAAGAAAATAGGTTTATTTATCAGGCTGGGAAGTTCAAGAGTGAGTGGCCTCATCTGGCAGCTTTTAAGTGAAGGCCTCATACTGTGTGAAAACATGGCGGAGAAAAGGAAAGGGAAGTGAGCACAAGTGAAAAGAACTAATATGAGAGGCAATCTTACTTTGTAACAACCGGCTTTCCTGGGAACGAATCCATTCCCTGGAGAACCAACCCAGCCTTGCAAGGCAAGCATAAATCCATTTTCACCTTTTAAAGACACAACCTCCCAACACTGCCGCCTTGGGGACCACGTGTCTACATGAGTTTTGGTAAGGGCAAACCATCTTAAACCATAGCAATAATAATAATAAAAAGGGAATTAAGTACAAGAGGATATTTTCACCAGTCTTCCTCATTTGGCCAGATCTAAGAACAACTCACAGAAGGGATTTCTGGGCTAAGGACTTCCACCAGTGTCCAAATGATATTCAGGCCTCTGGTTCCTATAGGGGTCTGTATATCAGGCCAGTCCATTCTTAGTCTGGAGACAGTATTGAATAATTACTCCACTGCCAGAAAATTCCCTGAATAGAGTCTCCAAAACTTAGCATAGACATAAGGTATATTTGGATGTGAAGGATGCTTTAATTTTCTATCAGTAGCATTGCTTTAGAAAATAAAGTGTGTTTTAGTGGCCGGGAATGGTGGCTCATGCCTGTAATCCCAGCACTTTGGGAGGCCGAGGCAGGCAGAGCATTTGAGGTACGGAGTTCAAGACCAGCCTGACCAACATGGAAAAACCCCGTCTCTACTAAAAATATAAAAAATTAGCCAGGCACATGCCTGTAATCCCAGCTACATGGGAGGCTCAGGCAGGAAAATCACTTGAACCCAGGAGGCGGAGGTTGTAGTGAGCTGAGATCGCGCCACTGCACTCCAGTCTGAGCAATAAGAATGAAACTCCATCTCAAACCAAAAAAAAAAAAAAAAAAAAAGAAAAGAAAATATGTTTTATTTTTGTTTGCTTACAGTGCACATCAATTATATAGATATTTTATTATTTCTTTTTATAGATATCCACTTCTCTCCAGTCTAAGGCATATTACTTTGTATATCCCTGTACATCTCAAAATAGATAATAGACCTGAAATTATTCTGGTATTTATGTGTGTGTTTGCAAATAATTGCAGACATAATATATTCTCTCTTGCACTGTCTCTCTCTTTCCTTCAGACACACACACACACACACACACACACACACACACACACACTTATCATGTGTAGCACAAAAACAAAAGCAAATAAATTATATAATATACTAGAATCACCCCCCACTCCACTCCCTCTCCCTCACAGGAGCCACAATATACAAAGAACAAAGAAACCTTCCTCTTCTGGCAGATGTGAGTTGCTCTGACTATATTGCCAGGAGAATTTTGTCGAGCTTATACTGTTCTGAGCACCCTGCAATTCTGATCTGCAACCATTAGCCAGAGCCTACATGGAAACGGGCCATCTCTAGGGTAATAGCATTGTAAATTGCAATCAATGTACCCAATTACACTCAGAAACCAAAAGATATGTAGTGCTCCAGTGTGCCTTGTAATCAGCACCTTTGGAAATGTAGGTAACAGCATTCTGAGCAACAACAACCAAAAAAATGGAAGCGGAACGTGTTAGAAAATGGATGTTGGAATTAAATCATCCTTCTGATAGGAACAGCACCTTATATGGCAGGCAACTTTTTATTAATATCATTTTATTGATTTTTTTTTTTTTACAAAGAACTAAACTGTGTCCTTCTAGCCAAAAATGTCTTTAAAAATCATTTATTGCTCTAATCAGCCTGGCATAGCCTTTCTGTCATGCTGATAAGGAAATTAAACTTTTCTCATACTGGGTTTACTTGCCTCTTATGCACAGATGTTTTGTTTTTCTTTTAGGGAACTAATTCAGAAGTTGAAGTCTTTCACGAGCTTCTATAGTGCTTTACCTGGCTATATCTGCAGTCATAGCCCTGTGGCGGAAAACGACACCCTTTGCTGGAATGGACAAGAACTCGTGGAGAGGTGATCTTTTTTGAAAGTTACATATAGCAATATTTGAGGAATAATTGTATGTTTATTTAAAGGTTAGTTATGACTTCTCTCTGTCTCCATTAATTTCACAAGAAAAATTCTAGAAAAAATATCTATGAGGCTGGGTGTGGTGGCTCATGCCTATAATCCCAGCACTTTGAGAAGCTGAGGTGGGCAGATCACCTGAGGTCAGGAGTTTGAGACCAGCCTGACCAATATGGTGAAACCCCATCTCTATTACAAATTCAAAAATTAGCCAGGCATGATGGCACATGTCTGTAGTCCCAGCTGTTTGGGAGGCTGAGGCAGAAGGATCATTTGAACCTGGGAGGTGGAGGTTGCAGTGAGCTGAGATGGCACTACTGCATTCCAGCCTGGGTGACAGAGTGAGACTCTCCAAGAAAAACAGTTGAAACATCTATGATATTCCAGATGATGTCTATAATTTATAGCCCTCCTAGAAGCTGCAAAGTTTGAAGCACACAGAGACTATGTCTGAAGGCCATTTTACAGAGTTTAAAGCATTAATAAAATTTTCTTTTTTCTTTGATTCATCCATCTCCTCATTATGTGGTCCCTTATTTATTTGATTTAAAGAAATCGCATTCATCTTAATAGCTATCATTTATTGAAAGTTAATTGTGTATTAAGTGTCATGGTAAGTGCTTTGTTTGTATTATTTATAACAATCCTATGAAATGAATACTGTTATCTTCCCCCATTTTACAAATGAAGATAGAGAAAGGAAGAAAAGGGAGGGAAAGAGGAATACCATTTCACTGAGCAATTTTTTTTTTCAATTTTTTTTTTTCAATTTTTTTTTGCATTTTAGGTTTTGGGGTACATGTGATGAACATGCAAGATTGTTGCATAGGTACACATATAGCAGTGTGGTTTGCTGCCTTCCGTCCCCTCACCTGTATCTGTCATTTCTCCCCATGCTATCTCTTCCCACCTCCCCACCCCCCTGCCCCTCCCCCATTTCCCCCCAACGGACCCCAGTGTGTAGTGCTCCCCTCCCTGTGTCCATGTGTTCTCATTGTTCAACACCCACCTATGAGTGAGAATATACGGTGTTTGATTTTCTGCTCTTGTGTCAGTTTGCTGAGAATGATGGTAATCACTGAGCAATTTTACTGAAATATTTCATTGAGTTTTTTTTTTCTTTTTCTTTTTTTTCTTTTCTTTTTTTTTTTTTGAGTTGGAGCATCACTTTGTCACCCAGGCTGGAGGGCAATGGTGTGATCTTGGTTCACTGCAGTCTACGCCTCCTGGGTTCAAGTGATTCTCTCACCTCAGCCTCCCAAGTAACTGGGATTCAGGCACTTGCCATCATACCGGGGTAATTTTTGTATGTTTAGTTGGGACAGAGTTTCACTATATTGGCCAGGCTGGTCTCGAAATCCTGACCTGAGGTGATCTGCCCATGTCAGCCTCCCAAAGTCCTGGGCTTACAGACGTGAATCACTGCGTCCGGCCAAGTATTTGTTAATATAATCTATGCTATCATTATCTGTGAAGAATGTGCTCTTCACTGAAAAGGAAATCACATATTTTCATTATATTCATTTATTCAGTAAGTATTTATTGAGCACCTTCTAAGTGCCAAGCCTGTTGAAATGAACAAAACAGACATAATTTCCTGTCCTCACAGAGTTTTATTCTGGTGCACTAGTGGTATTTCTAACTTCCATTGCTTTGCATTTGGGAAGAATAGCTTGCAATTAAAAAATTAAATCAAAGGATAGAATGCATAGGAAACCACAAGGAGTTGATGAACCTGCTTTAGAAAATGTTTGCACACGTCATAGCACATTGTAGAGCAGAATAGACCCAAAGTAAAGTTCTGAATCTTTCACTAATTAGTTGCTTAACCAAAGGCAAGTGACTTAATCTCTCAAGGCCTTGGTTTCCCTCATCTAAAAAAGGAAGTGATTGGATTAGAGCCCTTCCAGGTCTAACAGTATCCATATGTTTTTCCTTATTGATTTATTCACTCATTCATATCTTCAACATTTACGTTTTGAGATATCATGTGTTAGGCACCAAGCTAGATGCTAGGGATGCAAGGGCGAAAAGGGCAAGTTCGCTGCTTTGAAGAGCTTACATTCTAGTTGGACCCAATACCAGGACACGGAATGCTGAATGGAATTTAGTAGCAGAATAATGGAGTGAAAAGAGGAAGGCTTTGGAACTGGCTGAATTTGAGTTTCCCTCTCAGTTCTGCTACTAACTGTGGCCTTGGGTGAGTCACTTAACCTAAAAAGTCTCAAGGTCCTCCTCCTCTGTAAGGGAACGGCTTCTCACAGGATTGTTATAACTATTAGGAGAGGTATAATGAAAAGCCCATAGCAGACTGGCAGATACTGGACACTCCATTTATATTACTTCTCTATTTTTCCCTTTTCCTTCACTCCTCCTCTTTCCAACTGAAAGTCATGCCTGAAAATAGATTGTTCCTCATCTAAGCTATTTTACTAACATGGGACAATGAGAATGAGGTTGTATGTCACCCTGGATGAGGCACTGAAATTGTATGGAGATAGACTTCTCTCTAGCAAATGTAAGTCGGCCTGGAAGGATTAATGGCTCCATGCACTGGAGAAATAATGTGTATTTGTCATCCTAAAAGCTTATCAGGTACTAAGAAGAATCATGAACATATATTTTTTTTTAATTTTCAGAGAAAAGCAGTGGGCATTTGGCTTTATAAAAAGCTGATGCTTTAAAACTGATACAAACAATAAATATTTGAAAAAGTAAATATCCACAGGTCAAATATGTGGTTCTTACATAAACTTGATGAGAAACCATTCCAGTGCCTTGTCCAGTTTTATGTTACTACAGCGAAAAATAAACGACTCCCGAATATTTGTTTTAAGCAGCTTATCTTCTAACCATGGTCTCTTATTAAAGAGGAAATTTTACTTTACAAATATATTTATTTGCTAATGTGTTCATTCATTCACATATTTACTGTAACAAATATTTGAGCACTTATCAAATATCAAGCACTAATATTGGTTTCTTCATTGTGATTGTTTGAAGCAGATATTATAACCCTGCTGGGTTTATCTTCTATTGTTTATGGTGAGAAAATCAGATTGATCCAGTTTTAGTTAATTTTAAAATAATTTCTTCCCAGGCCTTTGTATTTTGAATTAGTGAAATTTTTGTTGAATTTTGCTCATATTAACTACTTCATGTTTGGTACACTTTTGTGAAGGATGTTGCCCTAGAGCCAAGAAATTTCTCCTCTATCAAATGGTGGAATCCAAAACCTACTAAATTTGAATGAGTCCAAAAGTTAGCCAAATGTACTTTGATTATCATTAAAAGAATTATGTTAACTGAAATATTTTTGTTTCATTTGCTAGCTTTAAGCCTTAGGGTATTGAACAAAATAATAAAAATAAATATTGTATATGGATAAAAGCTATTATTCCAAACTCCTGTTTATATTTCTGGAAAATCTGTTTTTTTCAGAATGACTTTTATTGTTCATATAAACTATTCAGGAAAGAAAGAAAGGAAAGAAGAGAGGGAATAACGAAGGAAGGATGAAGGAAAGGAAGGGAGGAAGAAAATAAACATATTTTCAAACAGAATAAGGGTAGTGTAATCCAGGAAGTGATTCCTTCTTGGTTAGTAACCTCAGGTTATACTTAATTTGTACTTGCATTACTGACCTAATGCAATGATGACACTAGGGAATAATGTCAAACAAAATTTTTAAAAAAATACCACTCAGAAATACATCTTTAATAATATGAAGTTCTTTAGCCTGAAGACATGTATGGCCTCTATTTGTACCATCTATAGTGGAAACCTCTTTCCAGAGCTTTTCTGTGAATCTCTCATTTAATGTAGTCTTAAGTAACAGTTACCACTTCCTGTTGTCCAATGGGTTGTAACTTTGTTATCTTTCTAGGTTAAGTTTGTGTTCCTGTAAAAAACACAAGGCCGAGGCAGGCCGATCACCTGAGGTTGGGAGTTCAAGACCAGCCTGACTAATGTGGAGAAACCCCGTATCTACTAAAACCACAAAAAAATTAGCCAAGCATGGTGGTGCATGCCTGTAATCCCAGCTATTCAGGAGGCTGAGGCAGGAGAATCGCTTGAACCTAGGAGGTGGAGATTGCGGTGAGCTGAGATTGCACCATTGCACTCCAGCCTGGGCAAAAAAGGCAAAATTCTGCCAAAAAAAAAAAAAAAAAAAAAGAGAGAGAGAAAGAAAAAGAAAAGAAAAATTATGAAAATCAAGGATTCTGATAGGAAATGAGACTTGTCAGTGGAGACACTTGATCAAAATGAAAATATTGATGTTGAGGGAAATATTGAGCAATATCTATGTGAGCTGGGTTATTAGAGCTGTTTGTAGCCTACTATGGATGTATAGATCACTCAACTTTTAAAGAGTTAAACAATTCATTGTCTCTCTAAATAAGGTCATATTTTTCATCCTTTCAATTTTTAATCTCTTATGAATGAAATCAATTGAAATATGAAGAGAATGTTTCGCCTATCCAATCTTAGGGAGTACCACGTAAGCCTGTCATTCATCCTACTCAGCTTCCCACCATCACCCCCCATTTGGGCTTGAGATAAACATTGGTTTGTTTACCAGGGCTTAGCTGAGAAACCATCAAATTAGCAAACTGGGCCCACGTGAGGTATCCTCTTTCTTGTGAGCCACCCATGTATCCTACAAGCAAGCATTGCCTACAATTGCCAAAGGCAGAAAGTTCCTCCAGCTTCTGTCTTTGTCAGACTACAGAGAATTTCAATTAGAGAGTCCTTGGGACCAAGAGAAAGATAAAAGAACCCAAATTGCTGAGTTAACATTGGGCTTAACAATGGTTAAATGTCGGCTTTGCCCTGATAACACCCAAATGAAGACTGAACATTTTTGTAAATCCATTTTCAATCACCCTTTTTTGCTGGGCCGAATATCTGGACAATTGATGAATTTTCATTCATCTTCTGGATAG